ATTTGGGATTTGGGATTTGGGATTTCGGCATTTGGGATTTCGGCATTTGGATTTTGAATTTGGGTGGCAGGTATATCCTTCATCCTTTGTATGTCATTCTTTATTCTTGTTGTTACTATTTTTTTTGTTCTCTTCTTTGTCATTATCACGTTTTCACTTTTGTTTTCCATTCATAATACCTTGTTACCTTTAATTTCCATCTATATAATCTCTTTTTTTATTTGTCACAGTCTCTTCTTCTTCTCCTCTTTCTCATTTCCTATAATTATCTAGCAATACTTATTACTGCTTACTTTTGTTTATCTACTTATCTTATACTATACACTAATTTTCACCTTCTTTAAAGTTCCCTTCATCCTGAACTCACCTTAAAAATCTTGATTCTTTCTTCTCTTTCTCCACTTATATTTATAATTTCTTTCAGTTACACCAGTTATGTGCCATGTGACAACTGATATACTTTGAATTGCAGATACTGCGGTCTGTTGTGAATTACTGTGAAAAATGTCATTTTGCTTAGTGAGTGGTTTTTTGTTAGGAAGAGTAGTCACCATCTAAGACAAAAATGCAAATGTTTTGAACTGTCATCACCTCTACAGTGGTTTTGAAGTTAAGCAAGACTGGAATTGAGTTTATTTTGTTATTTTTGTTCCTTTTTTTTCTTTTTCTTTCTTTTTTTTTTCTTTTTCTTCTTCTTTTATCATGTAATTAATTGATAAATTAATTTATATTTTTAGAATAAAATTGGGATAATTATAAAAGTAGCTTTAATTTTTCTTCCTCATGTAACAAGAATATCATCGATAATATCATTTTTCTCTTTATCCTGATTAATCCTTTAGATAGTTTTTAAATGAAATTAGGATAAACTCTAATTATATTTATCAAAATTCTCATAAATCTGTGAAACACTATTTTTTTTAAGAATACTTTATGCCAAATCTCACAGGAGGTACCAAAAGTCTGTAGCGATCTGTTCAGAACAAAGAGTAAAGTTATATTAATTAGTTTTACTAAATTGAACTCTCGTTACACCCCTTTTTGTACTAACTCAATGTACTCTTGTATGCAATTTTTCATAATGCCCACTATCTGCCAGTAGGATCAAGCAGTCACTTGCCTATTTGCACTGAACAGATATATAAAATAAACTCTAATACAGTACACACAGGTGTGATCTGAAAGTAAGTAAGTAAGTGAAGTAAAAGTATCTTTTTACAACTTCCTATACAAACTTTTGAATCTTAGCTTCAGATTTTATTCAGTAACTTTATTCAAGAAATTACAAAATTAGTAATAGAAGTATTATAGGCTGTTAACCGTTTCTTATCAATATTACTGTTATTACAAAAAAAATATTTAAAATGTATCAAATTATTATGGAGTATACCTGCCACCCAAATTCAAAATCCAAATGCCGAAATCCCAAATGCCAAAATCTCAAATCCAAAATTCCAAATTATGATTAGTATTTTTTGCCGAAATCCCAAATCCCAAATTTCAAATACTAGTAATTGGGATTTGGGCAACACGTATATTATGGAGTATGTCAAAACTATTAAACTTATTGCAAAGATGTAACAACAAAAATATATCACTGCTTTGATGTGTCTTATATCTGCTGCTAAATTGAAACAATATATTTCTATTTTTATTATTTAATTTTATTACAAAATGTGTATTAAAAGATTATTTATTATTTTATTACAAATTAGGTAAAAGATTTTTGTATTTATTCAAAATGTACCAAAAGAAAATTAAAAATTATAAAAATTTGCAAAAATGTGCTGATCCTTTTCACATCCTAAATTGTCAGTTTATTTTATTTATTTTATAAACTTTTGAACTTGTTTTCCTTCATCCTTTGTTGTTGCGTCTAAATGCATTCTTTTCTATTTTTAAAGATAATACACAAGATGAAGGACAATGCACAAAGATGAGAAATCTGTCATCTAGATGGTAACACACTTATCCTGGTTACACTGTCATCTTATTGTCATCTCCTGTAACACTCACAACATTTTGAAATTCTGTGCATATCCATGTGTAATTCATGCATCCTCAATACTTAGTGACTAAAAACGTGTCAAAATTACTAGAAACTATTGAAATTAGAATGGACATATTTAGTGTCAATAGTTTAAGAAATTTTTTGACAGGGGGTATTGTAAATGGGGAAGATGAAATAAAAAGATTATTGTAACATGTTCATAATGAGGAAGTTTATAATGATAATTTTTATTCTATAGCAGCCACCATTCAATCAATACAATCAAACAAGCATATTTGCATTCACTATTAGAATGATTTTTTTATTTATCAGGTTTTATTAATCTCATTTTCAATGATTACTGACTTCTTGAAATGCCAGTTTTTATTAATAAAAACATTAGAGCTCAATGATATCAACTTTATAATAACTTCTTTCATATTATATTGTTTCAATTAATTACCTTTACAAAATAAGATTTAGGTTCAAATCTTCACATATTCATGTGGAGTAGATCTACTATTCCTATACAATTTCTTTTGTTATTAAATGAAATATGTGATTGATATTTTAATATATGAAGCAAATTATAGTTTTGTGTATTTTACAATATATAAGTATTTTTTATTCAATAAAAATTTCATCACATCTTTTTTTATCAAAGATTTTTTGAGTGGTAAACCAGTCATATTTAATATATGTTTTAAATAATTTACAAGTTATTTTTTTCTCCCATATAGATAATTTAAAAATATAAATTTATAAATAGAGTTATTTTGTTCATAATAACCACTTTGAATTCAATAATACTCATCAAAGAATTCAGTAATTATATAATTACTTAATATTCAAAGTTTTCTACTTATTTATTAATAATACGACATTGTTATATCACACCAGTGGTGTTCAACACCAGTGTTATTATCAAACTAAAAAAATTAAACACATGATTAAATAATAGATACAAGTGATCAAAATGTTCACGTGTTATAAATTTTAGTGACGAATATTATATGACAAATATGTTTTTTGCATGTAAAAAAATTCCAAGTACTAGGATATCTAATAAAAATTGATATTCGAAGGGTGTGGCACACGGTGATAAATACATTGCTCCCTCGAAAAACTTATCCATAACCCTTGCGATATAGGTTATGGTGTTCAACAACACTGGTGTGATATAACGTTTTCGTAATAATATGTTGGACTTTGACGAAAATTGCTTCTTTGTGGAAAAAATAAAGTATCTTCATATTTTTGGTGAATTTTTATTTTTTTCAAATTGCATTTTTTCACATTGTTGATTCAAAGGTCCATAACCATAGTGTCAAGTCACTGCATCAATTCTAAAAGTTATGAAATGTATTTTGCGATATGATCAATTTGTTCATTTGACAATTATCTCTTTATTTTTTTGTAATGTGATTTTTGTATAGCTCAGCATAAATTTTTATTTTTGTGCGTGCAATGTGGTGTTTGATTTATAGAACGTTCAACTTGTAAATTTGTTTTGTAATTATTTATCTAGATTATTTCATTCTCTCGTAATGTCATACTTAATTTTCCGTGAATATGGAAGAAACACGCATGATAAAATTAAATTTATCATAAATGTATTTATTAAAAATAAAATTTCTCTATCAATGATAAAATATAATAAATAAAATATATGAGAGGTAATAATAGTATAATTATACATATTTAGTAAAATTTAAATGATGGCACAAAAAGTGTAAAACAAAATTAATTCACAATCGTAGATTCATTTTTACTTATTATAGTTATATTTTTATTTATTTATAGTTTAACTTGATGAGATTAGATTAAAAAATTGACAAAAAAAATTCATTTAAGATGTAATCGTTTTGTCATTAGTTCTAATAATCACAAGGAGTAAAGAGCTTTGATACATAACACTCTGTATAATCTTTTTTCTTTCTGGTTTTATGCCAAACAAGATTTTGGAGAGTCTCCTTAAAAATTGTCTATTCTTAGAATTTAGAAAATGATTTTTTTTTTGAACAAAAATATAAATAATCGAATAAGATCAATGATATCAAAAAGTACTAGAAATATAGTTATAAAAGAATAACATTTTCCTGTTCCCAAAAATTCAACAACAAATATTCAATTTGTTTTTCTTGAAAATAACGTCACGTTACTAAACAAATTTATAATATTTTTTTACATTTAAAAAAATGAATCAAAATATTATATTTGCTACTATCTTGATTGCATTTTCTGCATTCTTTATCTACTTTATGAATGCTTCTCCAATTGAACTGTTACCTCGTGCACCAAGCAACATCGCATACTGTGATTTCACGAAAGACGTTATTGGTCAAATCACTTTTACTGAACTTTGGAACGGATGCGTTAGAATAACCACACAATTTAATGCAGGATTCCCTGATCGCACTAGCAAATATAAATATCAAATTTTTGGTAAAGAAAGGGGAGTAATTGAAAATGACGGAATATTTCCACCTGGACTATACCTGCCACCCAAATTCAAAATCCAAATGCCAAAATCCCAAATGCCAAAATCCCAAATCCCAAATCCCAAATTATGATTAGTATTTTTTGCCGAAATCCCAAATCCCAAATTCCAAATACTAGTAATTTGGGATTTTGGCGTCCCAAATCCCAAATAATTTGGGATTTGGGCAACACGTATAACCTGGACTGCACAATTTCAAAAAGATATCAAAGATAAAACCGTAGAATATTATGTCAGGAAAAATCTTTGCATCTTCCGTGACGATAAAGTTATTGGCATGTGTGTTTTCGTACTAATTAAATAAAAGAATATTATAGGACAATTAATATGTAACGAGAGAATGTATTTTATCCAACTGTAATATAATAATAAATAATTTTTGATTACTTCTATTTCTTCTACTTCGCTCAGATTAATTAATATCATTAATATTTTATTTTTGTAATGATTAAATAAGTGATTTATCGATTTATTATATAAAGTCTAAGAAAATTTCGTTTATATAAAGTTGCATACTAAATCGAAATGCGAATTCAGTAAATATTTTTTTTCAGAAAAAAATTTTTGACTTAATGATAAGAGACTAAAAAAAAAAGACATCTTATGATACTTGCCACCATGTAATACAAAATATTTTCAAAAAAAAAGATTACAGAAATTATTGATTAATTTATAGGATATAAATAATAGAAGAGAAAAAAATATACAATTAAGAAAATCTCTCCTTTTTGTGAGAAATGGAAAAAAATAAATGAAATAAAAAAAATGGCATTTATTTTTTTTGCGTCAGAATTTTTTTTTGATTCAAAGGGTCCATAACTATAATGTTAAGCCACTGAATCAAGTCTAAATTCATTCTTTGTAAAGACCCATGTTTTCGGATTTTTAATAAAATCAGTTGTGATGAAATTGGTTTTGAATTTCATGCAATGTATTTTTAAGCAAAATTTTTCATTAAATAACAAGATTATTGTATACTTTTTAAAGCACAAAATGTAATGTAATGAAGAAGGTGGTTGATATGCCAAATTTTCATTTAGGAAAGGAAAGACTATAGATTATTGTTTGGTACAATGGAAATTGCTACAAGCGTAAGAATTATAAATTAGATCAAACAATTTTTCATGAATATAAATCATTCAAATTAATTCTTTATTATTATTGTCAATTATTAATATTTATATTGAGGATTTTGAAAGAAGTTTAAAATTTCTGAAATAATATAAGAAATAAAAATAAAATATAATATCTAATATTTGCAAATTGATTATTTACTCATCGGTCCTTTGATGATCTGAAATTTTCTTTATTCAAAGATCACCTCTTCCAAATATGTTCCATTTAATTTGGAACAATCAATAGTTTCTTTTTTAATTAATTTAATAATATTTATTGAATAATATATTTCTAATACAAATAAGAAAAGAAAAACTGAGAATAAATAATTATTTCAACATAAGGAACTAAAATCAAAAATCATTAATGTATCTGAAATAATATAAATAAAATTGAATGTAATAAAATATTATGCAAAATGAATATTCTAAAATATAGGTTTCAATATTAATTTACTCTTTAATATTGATTCATATAAAATGTTATTATTTTATTGAAGAAAAATAATAATTGAATTGATGCAAAAATTATTGTTATCATTTTTTATTTGATCAAGAATACCTTTTTTTTACTTGACTATGCTATAAAATATTTAAAATGTGAAGATCCTAGAATAAATTTATTGATTATTTTTTTATAAAGCAAAAAATATTCTCCATAATACTAAAGAATTTAATTCAATTAATTCAATTAATTAAATCCAAAGAATAACTTCTATTAATTTAATTTTAAAGAATTGAAAATATCTACAATAAATTTTATTGAGAATTCTTAACTGTGATTTGCCTTTACTAAAGCATGAAAATTAGCAACTAATAACAGGAAAACTAATGTATAAAAGAATACAAAGCAGTTATATGAATGTGTTAAAGTTGAAGGGTTTATACTATTAGACAAGAATAAAAGGTAAAGGACTTGGGATTGTGTATTTTATTTGTAAGAGGCAAGGCAGGTGTGAGGTTTTACAATTATAACTTATCACTTACTGTTATAATATCAAATAAACTAACTAAAACAATAAACTATACTATAAAATACTAACTAATGAACTAAGCATCCTTATTCACAAAGAAGAATAAATTCACTGAGATATTTACTAAGGTCACAAAGCAGTAAATATTATCACAAGGAAAATGCTCAAAACACAAAGCAGAGCTTAACATGAAGTAAAATAATAATCATAAAGAATAATGCTGTGATCACAAAGCAGGACAATTATAAAGAGGTTTTTCACTAAGAAGTTACAAAGGTTTAAATTATTATTTGTCACAAAGACTTTATAAATAATTTATTACTAATATTGAGTCTGAATTTTTAACTTATTCAATTCTTAAGTTATTTTCAAACTGAACTTTTTAAAGATAGAGAAAATCTATCCTTTACATACATTAATTTCTTTGAAATAATTTTTGAAATAATGACAATTCATATTAAAAAATATACATCAAAGAATATTATAGTATTTTTCATAAAGACTATTTTTAGTAATAAATTGTAATTGGTACTTCATGATTAAATTGATATTGTCACATCTGAACAGCACACTACAGAATTACATAACAAATCAAGTTTCTCAGTCTCAATAATAGCTTACACTTCTTTGTGTATTGCTATACAGTATGACAACTTAAATAACAACTACAAAATCGTGAGTATAATCTGAAAGGTGTGTAAGTAAGTAAAGTAGAAATAATTTTTCCTACATATACTATCAGTGTTAGAACAGATTTATAAGAGATAAAATGTTTATTTACAATTGAACAGTAAAGGAAAACTTTTTTAGAAGTTGGGTAACAAAATATTACAATGGCATGTTTCTATTCTGTCACTACTTCTAATATTTATTATATAATTATTACTATGTTTATCACTATTTGTAAATGTTATTATAGTTATTTAATTAATAAAGAAAAGATAAAAATAAAAGATTAAAGTATTATTATTTCTTTAGAAATATGCTGCAAAAAGGAACTCTCCTTTCTTTCATTAACTACTGCTACTTTTATATTTCTCTCTCAACATTTTTTCTCATCCTTCCACTATTTCCATCATTAGTTCTTCACCATTCTCATTATTGTGCAACTCCATCATTCTCATTATTGTACAACTCTATCATTCTCATCATTTGTACTTCATCATTCTCATCATTTGTGTTTTCATGTCACATCTTTTCTGCACTGCTATCTTTGTACTATCTTACCAATCCTTTCTTATATCACAAACATTTCCTTCTTCAAGGGAGCTCTTGTGACCCTACATCATTACTCTGATAATTTTGAATCATTTAAAGGTTTGCTTCTTCACACATTTGCACCAGTCTCTCATATTCTTGCTTTGAAAGTCTATATAACCAGTTGGATGTAACATTATGAAGATCTCTTGATTCTAGCATTTTGGTTCCTTGTGTTAATCTTTTTGCCTTCAAGGCTATTGTACATATTCACAAACCATTCTGGTGCAAATACTCTCATAATTTCTGTTCTAATGATGTAGTAATTCATTCCACTTGGATAATATAAATATATTTCCTGAGATTTCTATAAGCATTTACTCATTGTCCATTCGAATTAGTGGAGTTTATTGCAATAGATAGTAAGCCAGGTATATCAAAATTAGACATATCCTTTGTTGAATCATATCCTTCTTCTGAGATGGTCACTACATCCATGACATAGGAAAACAATGTACTGTGGCAAAGCAAATTGGTAATCAAGTGAAATGTTAAGGGGATGATATTTTATGATATACCTGCCACCCAAATTCAAAATCCAAATGCTGAAATCCCAAATGCCGAAATCCCAAATCCCAAATCCCAAATTATGATTAGTATTTTTTGCTGAAATCCCAAATCCCAAATCCCAAATACTAGTAATTTGGGATTTTGGCGTCCCAAATCCCAAATGATTTGGGATTTGGGCAACACGTATATTTTATGACACTGGATAAACTTTCAGGTGATTATCATCTTTGTATAGCCATCTATAATATGCTGTATGAAAATGAAGGATGAAATACAAAGATGAAAGATGAAGGATGCCATATGAGGATGAAGGATGATGCACAGAGGATGAAGGATGAAATACAAAGGATAAAGGATGAAGTGTAAACAAAAGAGAAAGTATAAATATGACTGTTGTTGGAAGTAAGTTAGTTAATTAGTTAATGAAAGTCAGTTAATAACAGTCACAAGTTAATCAGAAATTAATTAATAATTAGAAATGATTCAGAATAATTCAAAATACTTTAATAAATATTGAATAGAAAAGTAAACTTTCTTTGATACTTCACTTTTAAAAACTTTATATTTTAAATTTTAATAGCCTTATATTTTGTATTGTAATATTGTGAAATATTATTAAATATTGTTTGATACTGCGTTACTACTTTTAATCTACCTTACTCATTGTGCCTTCATAATTAATTAATTATTATTTGATTATTATTATTATTTATTATATTTATTATCTGTTTCAAGATAGGTCAGTTAAATTGATTGTATTAGCTATGACCTAATAGCAGATAAAGCATATTATTATTTGTTTGTGTAATGCAAACTGAGAGACTGATTTGAGAAATTGTTTGAAATATTCTGCACTCTTGTGACAGAATTTGGTGTCTCCTGTGAGGTGACATAAAGTATCCTAATACAATAACCTATAATATTTACATATTTGTTTTACAAATTTTATATTCTTTAATAAATTTAGTAAAATACATTATATATTTCTATTTTGAAAAGAATAACCAAAGAAATTTTTAACATTTCAAAGTAATTCAAAAATATATGATTTATTATTATAACCATTGTCATTTATAAAAACTAATTTTTTACATTTTGTCTTGTGACTTAATCAGAGTGATCATCAAAGTAGTCATTAACATAACAAAAATCTTCCAGATCAAAAGATTTATAACAAAAATTGTCAAGCAAAAATTTACATAACTAGACAAAATCTCTGAAGAATCATTAAAAATATTTCTATAGAATCTTATAGAATAATATGCCAAACTGTCAAAATGAAAGAAAATTACCAAACCAAGTATAAATACTGGAGAAAATGAGACAAATGTTCTAATACAAGATCTCCAAAATGCATTTCATATAAGAATCGATATAAGAATGCTGTCATTTTTTGAAGAAAATCAAGATCTCATGGAATAGTTAGAAGAATTCAATTGGTCTGTAAGAATAAACCTATATACTGATGAATACAAACTCCAAGTAATTAGTGGATATCTATAGGGCACTGCAGGGCAATAGTTCAATGAAGCACAAGAAGGGCAGAATTCCATTAATCATTGGAACAATGCAAACCAAACTTCTTTTGAAACATCCTTCTTGGTCACTTTTCAAATGACAACATTAATAAATCAATAAAGATTCGAACTACAAATGAAGGTACAGAAGTTAGACAAAACTATAGAATAATATTTGAATAATATCAAGAAATTAATTAAATGAATAGATGGTAATAATAGATAGAACAACAATCTGAAGAAACTCAAAACTCCAATTCACATAATTATTATTTAAACAAAAAATATATATTTTTCAAAACTTATCATTTTATTAAATGTATTGTTACTGCTTACCTTAGTTACTAATTAACTACAGAATTATCTAAATTCATTGCCTAAATATCAATTAGTCAATTCACTAAATTTAAAATCTATTAATTAATTCATTCCATAATTATTTCCTTTCATTTATCAACTGACCCATCTTCATCTTTTTATTAAATGGGATAATAATGAGATAACTTCATTAATCTTTAAATCAATTAATTAAAATAGTTAAAATTATTAAAATAAGTATTAATTAATTTAAATATTGTATATTATGATTATATAATTTCAGATTAATAATTTCACATGACCATTCTAACAAAGTCTTATATGAATATCTTTTATTGTAAAAAAATGTTAATTTTATGTTTCATATATTTTTATAAAAATATTTTTCTAATTGTTATAAAAAATAAGAATAATTAAT